CGCTCAGGCGCTCCTGCGCAAGCTCGTGTGCGCGGTCGGTGAGGCGGTCCTCGAGGGCGGCGATCTTGTCGGCGTTCTTCTTCGGGTCGGTCAGCTTTAGCACCGCACGCTCAACCTCCATCTCGTGGAACCCCGCGGTCCGTGTCCAACGGCAGCATGCTCAGAGGCACCCCCTCGGGCTCGCGGTCAAGGAAGCCGCGGTCACCCCTCAGGACCTGATCAGCAAGCTCCCGCGCCCGCTCGTTCAGTGCGTCGGCGGCAGCGTGTGGCGACGGACCCCCGGACTTCCTCCCGGCACCACGCGCCTCCTTCGCCAGGGACGCAAACGCCTCATCGTCGTGTGGACGCAAAAGCGCCAGCGGAATTCCGCGTGGGGCCGACTCCAGGGCCTCAAGGTCCTCCTCCTTCACCGCGCGGGCAACATCCAACGCACGCTCGTTCAGCTGACCCTCCAGGTCCTTGATTTTTGCCTCGTTCCTTGCGGGGTCGGCAAGCTTCAGCTTCGCCAACTCCAGCTCGGTCTTGGAGAAGGCCTTATCCTCGCTCAGGGGAAGCTCTTTCAGCGGCAGCTTCTCCGGAGAGGGATCCAGCTTGTCGCGGCAGCCCTGCAGCACCTTGTCTGCCAGTTCCTCGGCGCGGTTGCTCATTTCGGCCTCCAGCGCGCGCACCTTGTCCGGACTCGTTTTGGCGTCGGCCTTCAGCGCCCGCAGTTCCCTCACCATCTCGTTGAACCTCCGGTCGTCGTGGGGCCGCAACAAAGCAATCGGAATACCACGAGGATCCTGCTCCACGCCCCGCAGGTCTTCCGCAAGCTGCTCCCTTGCAAGCTGGCGCGCTACATTGTTTAGTTCTTCTTCAATTTCCTTAATTGCCGTTGCGTTGCGGACGGGATCCTTTGCCTTTAGTGCTGCGCGCTTGACCTCCAGATCGTGGAAGTGTTTGTCTTCATCGAGGGGGAGGTAGCGGAGATGTACACCCTCCGGCTCTTTTTCGAGGAACGCGCGATCGTCCTTTAGTTTCTCTTCCGCAAGCTTGATTGCGCGGGAGTTTAACGCGTCCTCCACCTCGGCCATTTTCTCTTTGTTGTGTCGCGGATCAAGCATGAGTTGGTGCCGCGTGGCCTCCAGCGCCTTAAACTCAGAGTCTTTGTCCAGAGGCAGTGCGGCCATGGGGTGGCCCAGGGGCGCAGGGCTGAGGTAGGACTCTCGGTCGGCACGCAAAAAGTCTTGCGCCAATTCATCCAGGTGGTCGTCCAAGTTGTTTTCCAGCGCCCGTATCGCCTCGGCGTTACGCGTGGGATCTTTTTTGAGCCGCCGTAGCATAGGCACGGTGGCGGCGAACTTACCGTCCTCATGAGGGCGCAGCAACGCAACGGGAACGCCTCTGGGAGCATCGTCCAGGCCCAGAAGATCCTCCTTCAACTGGTTCAAAGCCAACGCATGCGCCTGCTCGTTTAGGTCGTTCTCAAGCGCCTTAATCGCATCGGCGTGTTTGACGGGGTCCTCCGCCTTCAGTTGTGCACGCTTTACCTCCATCGCATGAAACGTTCGGTCCTTGTCGAGAGGCAGCTCGGACAGCGGAACGCCCTCAGGCTCCGGATCGAGCAGGGCCCGATCGTCTTCCAGCATCTCCCGCATAAGATGCTCGGCGCGTTCACTCATACCCATTTCAATTTCTTTGATTTGCTTTTCGTTTCTGCGGGGATCCTGCTTCAACTTACGCAGTTGCACGGCGGCGGCGTTAAACTCGGCGTCGCGGTGCGGACGCAGGGTTTCCATTGGCATGTCCACAGATGTCAGATCCAAGCCAGCGAGGTCTTCCTCCAGTTGCTTCTTCGCCATCTCACGGGCACGGGCGTTGAGGAGTTCCTCCGTGTCTTCAATCCTCTTTGCATTGCCTCGCGCATCCTCAAGCTTCAACTTTGCACGCTCCGCCTCCAAGCCGTGGAACCGGGTGTCCGTCTCGAGTGGAAGGGACTCCACAGAAACGCCCTCCGGATTGCGGTCGAGGTACTTTTCACGGTCACGGACAAGTGCCTCCAGTGCAAGCTCACGAGCGCGCTCGTTCAGCTCTTCCCCAAGTTTGACAATCCTCCCCTTGCCTGCGAGCTTGCCCGTGCCATACCTTGCCGCACGCAGCTGCGCAATAATTTTGGCGGCGGCGGCGTCCTCGCGGATAGGTAGAAGCTCCAATGGAATGTCGCACGGCTGCTTGTCAATTCCGTCGAAGTCCTGCTCCTTCACGGTCTTGGCAAGCTCATGACACCTAGCATTCATCGCGTCTTCACACTCCTTAATCTGGCTGGCATTTTTCCGGGGCTCGTCCGCCTTAAGCGCCACGCGTGAATGAAGCAGCTCCTCAAACACCCTGTCACCCTTCAGCGGCACGTACTCCAGTGGAACCCCCTCGGGGTCCTTGTCGAGAAACCACAGGTCGCCGTCCACAAGCTCCTTGGCAAGCTCCCGCAGACGTTGGTCCATTTCCTCCATGTGGTTCCGAAGTGCCGGCTCCGAGCCCTCCAGCTTCAGGCGACGCAGCTCAGGCACCAGCGCGGCAAACTCCCTGTCGTTGTGCGGCTTCAGCTGCGTGGTGGCCACGCCCTCGTACTTGCTGGAAAAACCTTTTAGGTCCTCGGCAAGCAAGTTCCTCGCCAGCTCCACAGCCTTCTCATTCAACTTCGACTCCAACTCCGCCACCTTGGCCGCGTTACGCCGTGGATCCTGCGCCTTTAGCACCGCACGCTCCACTTCCATTAGGGCAAAGGCGTCGTCCTGTGCAAGGGGCAGCTCCGCGAGAGGCACTCCCTCCGGTGCAGCGTTAAGGTAACTGCGGTCACCTTCCAGCAGCGAGTCAGCCAGCTCGTACGCTCGATTGTTCATGCGGTCCTCAAGGTTCTTGATAGCCTCGGCATTTGTCTCCGGATACTTCTTAAGCTCACGCAGCTGCGGCACCATTGAGGCAAACAACTCATCCTCTGTCACCTTCAGCAACGCTAATGGGATGCCCTCCGGCGCAGAATCCACGCCCCGCAGATCTTCCGCAAGCTGCTCCCTTGCAAGCTCTTGCGCCCGAGCGTTCATGTCGTCTTCGAGCTCTTTAATTTTCCGCGCGTTGCGCCGGGGGTCGCTCAACTTAAGTCGCGCACGCTCGGTCTCCGCCGCGTGGAATGCGTCATCCGCGTCAAGCGGCAGAATCTCCAGAGGTACGCCTGCCGGTTCGGGGTCCAAGAAGCCACGGTCCAGCTGCGCTGCCGCCAACGCGTCGGCGCGCCCGTTCATCGCACGTACGATCTCCTCAATCGCATCCGCATTCTTCCTACGGTCCTTCTTCAGTTCCCGAATGTCACTCACCAACGCCGCAAAGGCCGGATCACCGTGAGGGTGCAGCAGTTCGAGAGGGATGTCACGGGGCTCCTTGTCCACACCAGCCAAGTCCTCACGCAGTTGATCGCAGGCAAGCTCGTGACAACGGTCGTTCATTGCGTTTTCCAGGTCGGCCACCTTGCGTTCGTTGCGCCGAGGGTCCTGCGCCTTCAGCTTCGCACGCTCCGCCTCCATCTGGTGGAACTTGGGGTCCTCGTCAAGCGGGAGGATCTCCAACGGAACGCCCTCCGGCCCGGGGTTGAGGAAGCCGCGGTCCCCGCTCAGGCGCTCATGCGCAAGCTCGTGTGCG